CGTATTGTTGAAGTCGTCTTATAAGAACCTTGACAAGGAATTACGTTAGAGCAATATTACTTTTATGTTTCCAGCATATCATCATCATTATATATCATCCACCAGAACCACTGATTCAAAGGCTTTAGCTTCAAAAACCTACGTGGTGCTATGGTCCACCAAAGTTCCTTCTTCTTATTTTATATGATTTGGGGAGTTTGGTTTGAATACACACTAAATTTGAATTTGTTTGCATGTTCTCTAAAATTATCCAATAATTTTTCTTCAGATTCACCATCGCACATCATACGAGTTAATTTTCAAGAGCATTGTATTTGAGATTTCCACAGTTGCAATCTATGCATAGCTAACCCTTTAAAAATATACTAGACATATTTTGAATGTTAACAAACAGCAAATTTGTTTATTTGCAAGTTAGGTCTGAATTCGGTCCGAGCAACCTTGTTATGGAAGACCCGAACCCGAAACATTTTCTCGAAATTAGTATATATCTATTTTTCGTTTGTTTCAAAGTTTGACTTGGCTGGACTTGGGAGTGTGGTCTCAATTGAAATGGGCAAGGATTGGGTGGCGAATTAAAAGACAAATACGAAGAAAGAAATGGGGTTTTTTTATTTTATTATTATTATTTTTGAAATGCCAAATAGACTACTGTACAATTGTTTGATGTTTTCCATGAAAATGAAATAAGTGTGCATACAGAGAAGAGAGGTGGTGGTGGCAGGAAAAGTAAAAAAAAAAAGATTCTTTTGAAAGACGGGTAACTTCAGAGTTGGAGTAATTATTGCATATATATCTATCCTGTGTGTGTCATGGATTCACTAAATAAATTTTGAAATTCGTAAAAAAGTAAATTGGTTGTAAGAAAAATAAATAAAAAGTAAAATGGTCAGAGTGTAGTCTATTATTTATTTGTAGGCACAGGAACAAGACAAGCACAATAGTAGTACCCATTAACTTCTTTCCTGTGGTAGTTTGAGAGAGAGAGAGAGCAATGCAGAGCTTTTGCTTGACCATCTTCTTCCTGCTATCCTGCGCATCCTCGGCTAGTCTCGGCCGCCGTCACCTCTACGACGACGCAGCTCTG